AAAAAAAAAAAAAAAAAATTTTGAACCCTCAATGCCCCTATATTTGTTTTTGAGGTTTTTTTATGATTACTTTTCTTGTTTTGAGACAGGGCCTCACTCTGTCACCCAGCCTGGAGTGCAATGGTTCAATCACGGCTCACTGCAGCCTCTACCTCCCGGGCTTGAACACCACACCTGGCTAATGTTTTTATTTTCTGTAGAGGGTTTTGATGTTGTCCAGGCTGGTCTTGAACTCCTGCATTCAAGCAATTCCCCCAACTCGGCCTCCCAGAGTATTATTATTTTTTTGAGACAGAGTCTCACTCTTGCTCAGGCTGGAGTGTAGTGGTGCGATCACAGCTCACTGCAACCTCAATCTCCTGGGTTTTGAGAGATCCTCCTGCCTCAGCCTCCTGCGTAGCTGGAACTGCGGGCATGGACCACTACTACGCTCAGCTAATTTTTTAGTTGTTTTATTTTTTGTAGAGATGAGGTCTTGCTATGTTGCCCAGGTTGGTCTCTAATTCCAGGCCTCAAGCGATCCTCCAACCTCGGCCTTCCAAAGCACTGGGATTACAGGTGTGAGCCACCATTCCCAGCTCTCCCTGTTTGTTTGTTTGTTTGTTTGTTTGTTTTTTGAGACAGAGTCTCACTCTGTCGCCTAGGCTGGAGTGCACTTGTGCGATCTCGGCTCACTGTAACCTCTGCCTCCCAGGTTCAAGAGATTTTCCTGCCCTAGCCTCCCAAATAGCTGGGATTACAGGCATGCACCACCGTGTCCAGCTAAGTTTTGTATTTTTAGTAAAGACAGGGTTTCACCATGTTGACCAGGCTGGTTTCAAACTCCTGACCTCAAGTGATCTGCCCACCTCAGCCTCCCAAAGCGCTGGGATTATAGACGTGAGCCACCATGGCCAGTCTCTCCCCATATTTTATTTTATCTTTTCTTTTTTTTTTTCTTAGACAGAGTCTTGCTCTGTCGCCCAGGCTGGAGTGCAGTGGTATGATCTCGGCTCACTGTAACCTCTGCCTCCCAGGTTCAAGCAATTCTCCTGCCTCAGCCTCCCAAGTAGCTAGGATTATAGGCACACACCACCATGCCTGGCTAATTTTTTTGTTTTGTTTTGTTTTGTTTTGGAGACAGAGTCTCGCTCTAGTCTTGCCTAGGCTGCAGTGCAATGGCATGATCTCAGCTCACGGCAACCTCTGCCTCCCGGGTCCAAGCGATTCTCCAGCCACCATGCTTGGCTACTTTTTTTGTACTTTTAGTAGAAACAGTGTTTCACCATGTTGGCCAGGCTGGTCTTGAACTCCTGACCTCAAGTGATCCACCCGCCTCGGCGTCCCAAAGTTCTGGGATTACAGGCGTGAGCCACCGTGCCCAGCCTAATTTTTTTATTTTTAGTAGAGATGGGGTTTCGCCATGTTGGCCAGGCTGGTCTCGAACTCCTAACCTTGTGATCCACCCACCTCAGCCTCCCAGAGTGCTGGAATTACAGACGTCAGCCACTGCACCCAGCCTCATTCTCTCATAAAAAAACAATTTGTTATTTTTTTTTTATTTTTTTTTTTTTATTTTTCTATGGAGAGACAAGAAAGTCGTAGCTCTGTACTCCAAGGCATGAGAAAGTGCAGTGGTGAATCTCCGGTCCACTGGCAAGCCTTCCGCCTCCCGAGGTTACACGCCATTTTCCTGTTGCCTCAGCCTCATCCGAAGCTAAGCTGGGAACTTACAGTAGACAACGCCACCACACACGGTAATTTATTAAAAAAAGTAGAGATGGGATTCATCGTGTTAGCCAGGATGGTCTCGATCTCCGTGAACCTCGTGGATCCCACCTCGGGACATCATCTGTCCCATAATTTTAATACCTCAATTTAAAAAATAATAGGCTGAGGGATGCAAGTGACTACACCTGTAATCCCAGCACTTTGGGAGGACCAAAGGAGCAGGCAGGATCACCTGGAGGTCAGAGAGTTCAAAAGGGACACAGCACTGGCAAACTAATAGGTATGGAAACCGTCTATTACTAAAAAATGCCAAATAATAAGTGAAGCAGCACAAGGTAAAGGTAGCAGTGCCTGTCAAATCCAGACTACTCAGGAGGGTGGAGGCAGGAGAATCATCTGAACCTGGGAGGTGGAGGTTGCAGTGATCTGAGATCATGCCACCGCACTCCAGCCTGGCAATAGAGTGGGACTCCATCTCAATAATAATAATAATAATAATTTTAAAAATAAATAAAAAATAATAGTAGCTGACATTTATCTGGCACTAACATCACATGGGCCACTGTTCAACTCCCTTTGCCAAGATGAACTCATTCATTCCTTAAAACCACCCCACAAGCCGGGCGCGGTGGCTCAAGCCTGTAATCCCAGCACTTTGGGAGGCCGAGACGGGCGGATCACGAGGTCAGGAGATTGAGACCATCCTGGCTAACACGGTGAAACCCCGTGTCTACTTAAAAAAATACAAAAAAATAAACTAGCCGGTTGAGGTGGCGGGCACCTGTAGTCTCAGCTACTAGGGAGGCTGAGGCAGGAGAATGGCGGGAACCCAGGAGGCGGAGCTTGCAGTGAGCCCAGATCGCACCGCTGCACTCCAGCCTGGGCGACAGAGCGAGACTCCGTCTCAAAAAAAAAAAACCAAAAAAAACCACCCCACTTTACAGATGAGGAAAACTGAGGCCTTGAGAGGTGAGATCAGTTGCCCAAAGTCACAGAGTTCATCGGAGACCAGGCTGGGCTCTGAACTGGATCTTGTCCCCAAGTCCTGGCCCTTAGCCACTTTGCTGGGCTGCGTCTCAGCAGAGATAAGAATGACTGTTTTCAAGCCTGTTTTCTGGGTTGTTAAACGGACACAATGGATACAAGGCAGGTTGCCGAGCGAGTCAGATGAGACAGTGTAGACAGCAGCCGGCACAGGGTCTGCCGGGGAAGTTTCAACATTAGCCAGGCGGTGATGTTCGCCTTGGGATGCCGTGGGGCCGAGGAGTGGGCATCGGGTGAGACTTCCCTTGAACCAGCTCTGGAGCAATGCCCTTGCGATTGACACGAGAGGAACAGGGCCAGCTGGGGGCCAAGGTGACAGCTGAGCCCCCCAAGGGCGCCTGCTACCCGAGCCCCCGAGGCCTCCATCCCAGGCCCGGCCTCCCCAGAGAAGGGGCCAGAGGAACAGCCAAATCCCAAGGCTATAAATACCTCGGCTGGCGTCGGCCCTGGCCGTGGAATGTCGGTCAGAACTGGGGCGAGTGGGGGTGGGCTGGCCTGCCTGGGTGCCTCCCTCCGTTCCCCTGGGAGTGACCCCGGAGACTCTCTGTACCCCACTTTGGATGGAGGAGCAGCTGGATCCCACCTCTCTGTAGCAAGGGAGGCCCAGGCCACGGCCCGGCCAGGGCCCCCAGAGGCACCATAAAAAGGTCAGGCTCTAGGTTGAGGGAACTGCACCCCAATTTCTACCAAGTATCTCCCCAGAAATCACCTGAACCCGCCCCGGTGAAATGGAAGTCTCTGTCTAACTCTCCCCTCTCTCCCTTTCAGTGAAAGAATTCTTAGCCAAAGCCAAAGAAGATTTTCTTAAAAAATGGGAAAGTCCCGCTCAGGTAAGGCCACTGGGTACAGAGTCCGGGGAGGGGTGAGCTGGTGACCCCCAGCCCCCAGCTGCGTCCCAGCAACACAGCTAGAATTTCAGAAACCCCGTAGAAGGCTTCAGACCCTCCCCATTCACTCCCTAGGTGCCCATGGGGGCTCCTGTGTGGAGACACCTACTGCCCAATGCCAGGCACCCCTATCCCACCACCCCTTCCAACAGCCCGCCCCTGCCCCTAGCACAGCTGCCAGCAGCTCCAGGCCCCAGGCCAGGGCCGGATCTGGCCCCTGCCACCCGCCTTAAGGAATGCGCCCTCTGCCATCTTGATTTTCCGCCCCCGTCCTCAACCCCGCTGACCCTACGTGTTCCCTGGGGCCCCCTCTGCCGGTGGCAGAGGGGATGCCTCAGACCTTAGCCCACCAGGCTGCGGGGAAGATGCACCCTGAGCCTGCCGACCCCTCTGCCCACAGAACACAGCCCACTTGGATCAGTTTGAACGAATCAAGACCCTCGGCACGGGCTCCTTCGGGCGGGTGATGCTGGTGAGACACAAGGAGACCGGGAACCACTATGCCATGAAGATCCTCGACAAACAGAAGGTGAGGTGGCCCGTCCTCGCCTTTGCCTGGACTGTGCCCACTCCTTGGAGTGCCCTATCCACCCGTTCACTCACTTGCTTTGTTTTTTCGAGTCAGAGTCTTGCTTTGTTGCTCAGGCTGGAGTATAGTGGCGCGACCTCGGCTCACTGCAACCCCCACCTCCCTGGTTCAAGCGATTCTCCTGCCTCAGCATCCCGAGTAGCTGGGATTACAGGCACCCGCCACCACACCCAGCTAATTTTTGTAATTTTAGTAGAGATGAGTTTTCACCATGTTGGCCAGGATGGTCTTGAATTCCTGACCTCAGGTGATACACCTGCCTCAGCCTCCCAAAGTGCTGGGATTATAGGTGTGAGCCACCGCGCCTGGCCACTTGCTTTTTTGGGGGGAGACAGGATCCTGCTCTGTTGCCCAAGCAGGAGTGCAGTGACGTGATCATAGCTCACTGTAGCCTCAAACTCCTGAGCTCCTCCCGAGTAGCTGGGACTACAAGCACACACTACCATGCCTGTCTAATTTTTTTTTTTTTTTTTTTTTAAAGGCAGGGGGTCTCTTGCTGTGTTGCCCAGGCTAGTCTTGAACTCCTGGCCTCAAGTGATCTCCTACTTCAGGCTCCCAAAGCGCAGGGATTACGGACATGAGCTTCCACGCCAGGCTCACCCACTATTCCCCGAGCCCCCATAATGTGCCAGCTCCAAGGGTCAGAAGGGCCCTGTGCTGCCTTCCCAAAGCTCCCTCTCCAGGCTGGCCATGGATTCAAAGCCGGGCACTGTGACACAGGGTCAGACACCAGTCCAAAGGGAGGAGGCCAGGAGCATTCTTGGGGAAAGCGATGTTTACGTGGACTTTCTTCCCGTAAATATTTTTGTGATCCAACTTTATACCGGGCACTGCTATAAAGCAGCAATGTAACCAACAGAAATGTAACCCAAGCCACAGAATCGATTTTAAATTTTCTCTTTGCTCCATCATAAACAGTAAAAAGAGCCAAGCATGGTGGCGCATGCCTGTAGTCCTAGCTACCAGAGAGGCTGAGGCAGGAGGATCACTTGGACCTAGGAGTTCAACTCCAGCCTGGACAACACAGCCAGACCCCATCTCTTAAAAAAAAAAAAAATTGTAGCCGGGCGCGGTGGCTCAAGCCTGTAATCCCAGCACTTTGGGAGGCCGAGACGGGTGGATCACGAGGTCAGGAGATCGAGACCATCCTGGCTAACACGGTGAAACCCCATCTCTACTAAAAATACAAAAAAGGTAGCCGGGCGTGGTGGCGGGTGCCTGTAGTCCCAGCTACTCAGGAGGCTAAGGCAGGAGAATGGCGTGAACCCAGGTGGCGGAGTTTGCAGTGAGCCGAGATCGCGCTACTGCACTCCAGCCTGGGCGACAGAGCGAGACTCCGTCTCAAAAAAATAAATAAATAAAAATTAAAAAAAAAAATTGCAATTAAAAAAGAAAGTGAAAGAAGCAGATGACATTCATGAAATTCATTTTAATGACATGTTTGGGGCTTTTTTTTTTTTTTTTTGAGACAGAGTCTCACTCTTGTCGCCCAGTGGCGTGATCTCAGCTCACTGCAATCTCCACCTCCCAGGTTCAAGTGATTCTCCTGCCTCAGCTTCCCAAGTAGCTGAGATTGCAGACGCCACCACCACGCCTGGCTAATTTTTGTATTTTTAGTAGAGACGGGGTTTCACCATGTTGGTCAGGTTGGTCTCAAACTCCTGACCTCAGGTAGTCTGCCCGCCTCAGCCTCCCAAAGTGCTGGGATTACAGATGTGAGCCACCATGCCCAGCCTAATGATATGTTTTAATTAAGCCAGTATATCTACAGTATTACCGTTTGAAACATTTTACATTCCTTTTGTTTTTTTCCCAGTCCTTCATGACTTCGGAAATATTTCCTTTTTTTCTGTACTGAAGTGTCTTTAAAATCCAGTGTCCATTGGATGCTTACAACAGGTCTCAACTCTGAGGGTAAATTTTTCCCGGAAAGAGGAGAAAAAGGAGGGAAGTTGAAAAAGCTAATTCAGGCCGGGCGCGGTGGTTCACACCTGTAATCCCAGCACTTTGGGAGGCCGAGGCAGGCAGATCACGAGGTCAGGAGATCGAGACCATCCTGGCTAACACAGTGAAACCCCATCTCTACTAAAAATACAAAAAAGGTAGCCGGGCGTGGTGGCGGGTGCCTGTAGTCCCAGCTACTCAGGAGGCTAAGGCAGGAGAATGGCGTGAACCCAGGTGGCGGAGTTTGCAGTGAGCCGAGATCGCGCTACTGCACTCCAGCCTGGGCGACAGAGCAAGACTCCATCTCAAAAAAAAAAAGAAAAAAGAAAAAGCAGATTCACATGCCCAAGTTGTTCCAACTATGCCTGAAAGTCACATCAAGTGTTTAATTTTTGTTTTGTTTTGTTTTGTTTTTGAGATGGAGTTTCACTCTTGTTGCCCAGGCTGGAGTACAATGGTGTGATCTTGGCTCACGACAACCTCCACCTCCCGGGTTCAAGCGATGCCTTAGCTTTCTGAGTAGTTGGAATTACAGGCACCCACCACCACGCCCAGCTGATTTTTTAATATTTGTAATAGAGACAGAGTTTCACCATTTTGGCCAGGCTGGTTGTTTTGTTTTTGAGACAGGGTCTTGCTCTCTTGCCCACGCTGAAGTGCAGTTGGGCTCAAATGATCCTCCCACCTCAGCCTCTGAAGCTGCTGGGACCATAGTCGTGCCATGCCCAGCTAATTGCTTTTTGTTGTTGTTGTCGTCGTTGTTGTTGTCGTTGTTTGTAGAGGTAGGGTCTCGCTACATTGCCCAGGCTAGTCTCAAACTCCTGGGCTCTGGCGATTCACCTGCCTGGGCCTCCCAAAGTGCTGGGATTACAGGCGTGAGCCACCATGCCCAGCTGGTGTCAGTTTTTACATTTATATTTTAGATACTTAAAATTTTTGAATTTGGCTCCCCAGTCAACTAGTCACATTTCAGGGGCCCAGCATCCCCCTGTGGCTAATGGGGACTGAACTGGGCAGGGCAGGTATAGACTGTGAGGACACAGCTGTGTGAGCAAAGCAGTTGACAGCTGACCAAGGGACCAGGCTGACTACATGTGACACACCAGCCTGACATCAGCCAGCTGTGTGACCTTGGGCAAGTCACCTCCCCTCTCTGTGTCTGGTCTTCCAAACTGGCATACTCCCAGCATGGGCCTCTAGGGCTCCTGTCCTGATTCAGTGAGAGACTAGGTGCCAGGTGCCTGGTCATGGCATCTGCTATTGGGGACAGCTGATGGCTGAGGAGCAGTTAGCCTGAGATTCAGGTTGCTGTGTGGAGTGTTCTAGACAAGGGTAAGGCAGTTCCTAAACCCCCCACCCCTTGGCCTTCTCCTGCCTGTCTTTTCAATTTCAGTTCAGCTGCCCCTTCCTCCAGGAAGCCCTCTCTGATTCCCCCTTCCTCAGACCATGCCAGGTACTTTACATGGGCTTCTTGGGGGCTGCTTCTCCACAACCCCAAGATGCCCTCCACCACGGCTCTGACCTCTCTGGGGGTAACCCATGTATTCTTTGCCCTGGACTTTGTGCCGTGCAAGGACAAGCAGCCCCTAGCCTCCCTGATGCTATGTCCTCAGCATCAGCCAAGGGCCCGACAGGCCACAGGCACACAAATGATTCTGGCTGAAGGAACCGGCCTGGCTCTGGCATCCCTAGTTCCAGGCATCAGGGGAAAGGAGTCCCCTCTCACCTCCCCCTCCTCTCTGCCCTCCCCTCCCACCCTTCCCAGGTGGTGAAGCTGAAACAGATCGAACATACCCTGAATGAAAAGCGCATCCTGCAAGCCGTCAACTTTCCGTTCCTCGTCAAACTCGAGTTCTCCTTCAAGGTGGGGTCCCAGTGGCCAAGGGGCAAGGTCACTGCACTGGGTCCCAGCCTTCTGGCCCCCAGGGCTGGGGTCGGAGCTGAGGACAATCAGTGGCTGCCCTCTTTTGTGGAAGAACAAGATCCCTGGAGGAGGGAGACAAGGGGACAGGAGTCAGGCTGGGACTCTGGTAGACCCAAGTTCAGTTCCTGGGCCGGCCAATTTGTAGCTCGATACCCTTGGCGAGTCACCCAACCTCAATAACATCCCTCAAAAGCAGCACCTCGTTTATGGCAAGAGCGTGACCTGGGAGCACAAACGCTGTCCCAGGCAGGCGGGGCTCAGTTCCCAGCTCAGTACTTCCTGATGTGTGGCCCCAGGCAAGAGACTTATCTCCCCGAGCCTCAGTTTTCTCATCTGTAAAATGGGGATCATACCAGTTCCAACCTGGTGGCGTTGTCATGACAGTTGCAGGCACGTCTTGAGCACCCTTTGGGAGCCGTTGTGGGTGCCATCCAAAGCTGTAGTCATGAGAAACAGGAAAGGCCACTCAGGGCCAGCTTCATGGGCGTTCGACCCAGAGAAGCACAAGGGTCTATGCTCCAAGGGACCCTACACCTGGTTTAATGCTTTGCTGCTGCTGCTGCTGCTGTCTTGAGATCTGTAATAATTTTTTGTTGTTGTTGAGACAGAGTCTTACTCTGTGGCTCAGGCTGGAATGCAGTGGCGCGATCTTGGCTCACTACAACCTCTGCCTCCCGGGTTCAAGCAATTCTCCTGCCTCAGCCTCCTGAGTAGCTGGCATTACAGGTGCCCACCAGCATGCCCAGCTTATTTTTGTATTTTTAGTAGAGACAGGATTTTGCCATGTTGCCCAGGCTGGTCTTGAACTCCTGACCTCAAGTGATCTGCCTGCCTTGGCCTCCCAAAGTGCTGGGATTACAAGCATGAGCCACTGTGCTCAGCCCAGCCTATTTTTTTTTTTTTTTTTGACATGGAGTTTGGCTCCTGTTGCCCAGACTGGAGTGCAATGATGCGATCTTGGCTCACCACAACTTGCGACTCCCGGATTCAAGCAATTCTCCTGCCTCAGCCTCCCAAGTAGCTGAGATGACAGGCATGTGCCACACACCTGGCTAATTTTGTATTTAGTAGAAATGGAGTTTCTCCATGTTGGTCAGACTGGTCTAGAACTCCCGACCTCAGGTGATCCGCCTGCCTCGACCTCCCAAAGTGCTGGAATTGCAGATGTGAGACACCCTGCCCAGCCATTTTATTTTTATTTATTTATTTATTTATTTATTTATTTTAGACAAGGTCTCACTCTGTTGCCCAGGCTGGAGTACAGTGGTGCAATTACAGCTCACTACAACCTTTGCCTCCCAGGCTCAAGCAATCCTCCCACCTCAGCCTCCTGAGTAGCTGGGACTACAGGTGCATGCCATGATGCCCAGCTAATTTTTGTATTTTTATAGAGACAGGGTCTCACTGTGTTGCCCAGGCTGATCTCAAACTCCTAGGCTCAAATGATCCACCCACCTCGGCCTCCCAGAGTACTGGGATTATACAGGCATGAGCCACCACACCCGGCCCTCCGTAGTAACTTTTTAACCAGGGGCCACCTTTTTTATTCTGGGTCCCACTAATTTTGCAGCCCATCATGATCCCATTTTACAGATGACAAAACTGTGACCTCAAAGCCTTACTCAGGCTCCCAGAGCAAGGTACTACAGAGTTCACCCTCTGGCCAGGGCAGGCTAACCAGCTCCTGACATCCCTATGAGCCAGCCCTCACTTTCACCCATTAACAGCAGGATAAGGGTCGCCCCTGCTTCCTGGGCAGAATGAAATGCAACATGTGGGTTCAGCCAGCAAAGACTCTGGTCCCTAGAACATGATTCCTACGGAGAGCCAGGATCGCTGTTGTCATTTAATGTTGGAACACCAGCCAGGAGGCCCCCAAGGCCTTCAGATAGGGTCCAAGTCTCAGGGAGTGGGCCCTTGACCAGCCACTGCTTCCCACAGGACAACTCAAACTTATACATGGTCATGGAATACGTGCCCGGTGGGGAGATGTTCTCACACCTACGGCGGATTGGAAGGTTCAGGTAAGCAGGCCACCCCCCATCACATCCGGCTGTCGGGTGTCCACAGGTGGCAGTGCACGACCAAGCCCCCCCGGGGAATGCAGAGGAGTCCAGCATGCTTGAACATGCAGGTGGTCTCCCAGGATCCTATGGGTTTCTGTTTCCCCTATGCTGAGGAATGTGTGATGTTTCAACCACCACAAAACAAAACAGAGCAAACATGGCAAGTTAGGTGTCCAAACTTTAGTTGGTCCCAGGCGCGGTGGTTCTCACTGGCACTTTGGGAGGCCGAGGTGGGCAGATCACCTGAGATCAGGAGTTCGAGACCGGCCTGGCCAACATGGCAAAATCCCATCTCCACGAAAAATACAAAACTTAGCTGGGCGTGGTGGCGGGCACCTGTAATCCCAGCTACTCGGGAAGCTGAGGCAGGAGAATCACTTGAACCCAGGAGACAGACATTGCAGTGAGCTAAGATCACACCACTGCACTCCAGCCTGGGTGAGACAGTGACACGCCGTCTCAAAAAAAAAAAAAAAAAAAAATTGAAGTTGTTGATTTTGTGCATTTTTTGAGCCCCAAAAGGTGGCATGCATCTGTAATCCCACTACTCCTGAGGCTGAAGCGAAAAGATCATTTGAGCTCAAGAATTTGAGACCAGCCTAGGCTACATAGTGAGGTTTTGTCTCTTAAAAAAAAAAAAAATTGGCCGGGCGCAGTGGCTCACACCTGTAATCCCAGCACTTTGGGAGTCTGAGGCCGGTGGATCAGGAGGTCAGGATATTGAGACCATCCTGGCTAACATGGTGAAACCCTGTCTCTATTAAAAAAATACAAAAAAATTAGCCGGGTGTGGTTGCAGGCGCCTCTAGTCCCAGCTCCTTGGGAGGCTGAGGCAGGAGAATGGTGTGAACCCGGGAGGTGGAGCTTGCAGTGATCGCGCCACTGCACTCCAGCCTGGGCGACAGAGCGAGACTCCATCTCAAAAAATAAAATAAAATAAAAATTATACTATTATTTCATTTTATATAGATCAATAGTTTTATATGTGTAGATTTTAATATATATTTTTATACATAAAATAAAACTACATAAATTTGTAAGTTTAAGATACAGGCTGGGTACTGTGGCTCATGCCTATAATCCCACTTTGGGAGGCCAAGGTGGGCAGATTGCTAGAGCCCAGGAATTTGAGACCAGCCTAACATAGCAAGACCCATCTCTACAAAAAGTAAAAAAAAAAAAAATAGGTTGGGCGCAGTGGCTCATGCCTGTAATCCCAGCACTTTGGGAGGCCGAGGCGGGTGGATCACCTGAGGTCAAGAGTTCGAGACCAGACTGACCAACATGGTGAAACCCCGTCTTTATTAAAAATACAAAATAATTTACCTGACTTGGGTGTTGGGGCCTGTAATCCAGCTTACTCAGGAAGGCTTGAGGCCATGAGAATCGCTTGAACCCAGGAGGTTAGAGGTTGGCAGTGAGCCCAGATGGGCACCATTGCACTCCAGCCTTGGCAACAAGAACGACTAACTCTCTAAAAAAAAAAAAAAATTTAGTGTCTGGTGGCACATTGCCCTGTAGGTCCCAGTACTGGGAGGGCTTGGACCCGGTGTGAAGATCACCTTGAGGCCTGGAGAGGTCAAGGACCTGCATTGAGGCCAGGCCAGGTGCGGGTGGCTCACACCATGTAATCCCAAGCACTTTGGAAGCTCGAGGCAGGGCTGGATCACAGGGTCAGGCAGATCAGCCCAATTCCCGTGGCTAAAGAACGGTG